ACCGTCGAGCGAGGCGAAACCCGCGAGGGGCGGCACTTTTGCGCTGAATTATTGATGTCAACGTAATGGACCTCAATGGGGCTGCGCAGATATACACGCCGACGTTTCATCTTGCATGCACGCGGCCGGAAACTACGCTCCTCACTCCCCTTTTTCTGCACACGTACGCGACGTCTTTAGAACGTGCACGGGGCACATCGTGGCCGGATTAATTCAACTTCGTCCCTCCGTGCCTCGAATCTGTATCCGAGAGTCACGAATCGGGAGGGAGGAGGTCGATAACGTACTGCTGGAAAGTGATGGTGAATTTATTCCGTTAATCCTCAAGTATTATAAATCATCTGTGAGACCATTGTTAATTCTTATTCCTGCAATATTTTATGGTTTTAAATATGTTTGATATTGTTTGAATATTGTTTTGTTTTGTTTTAATATACGAAGGACAGGATGAGTTTGATTGTTTTATTTGTATGATACGTCGTAATGCAACAAATAGATATTTGTCTGTGAGATCTTCTATAGTAATTATGATTATGATTCAATGTCTACAATAATAGTTCCTGTATCGTTTTATATATTACGTTCATATGTTTGAAATTTTAATTTAGTATTAATTCAATTTTGATCTTAAGAATAAATACGAAAGTTCTTTATAATAATGGGTTAGGTCAATATTGTAATGGTTAAGCCTGTAATGATAAGAACGGAGTTGTTTGAATACAGGAGATTAATTACACAAATATAAAATAAATATATAAAATAGGAACATTAATAAAGATGTAATAATATTAGTAAATATACATATCATTCTTTTCAATTAGAATAATTTAAAAAGTTAAAATATTTAAACAAATTAATCTAATTTAGAAATATGTAGAAAAAAGATATATCAAACTCTACGTGTGAGTAAAAGGGTTAAACTTTTGATCAAATGTTTAATTTTTTAATTTAATTCTTGAATATTTGGAATATTTAAAATTTTTAATTAAAGATTTTTAAGCGATCGTCGCTATTTATACTCTTAATATTATATGAAATTTTGAAAATCATGGAATAATTGATGTTATTAAACTTGACATTAAACTTTCATGTAATTTAATAAAATACACAAGGAAATACATAATATATATGTATAATACACTGCCAGTTACAATATTCAATAAATGATTTTTTAAATTCAAGGCACTTAGGACACTCTTTAAATTTAAATTAATTTACATTCATTACTAATACCGTGTCGAACAAAGTTTCTTGTAAAAATTAGTTCACCAATCTTTATTTAACTTGTGTTGGAAATTCAATGAAACAAATTTATAATTAGAGATTTTTCAATGACCAGTACTCTACTTTCTATTGTATCGTATTTCTTTCTGCATAACTAAATCCACCATGGTCCTTAAAATTGGAGTCTTTATTCTGTAATAATCACTTAAAATTTGTTATATGATTTTTTTTACAGAATTATATGACTTGAAAATATTAATAATAATTTTCCATTGAATGTATATATATATATATATATATATATATATATATATATGTACTTACAACATACAACAGTTTCTTTCTTCAAACAAATTTCCCGAATAACTTCACGCAGTTCAGCGCAAATTACATTGGCATATACCATTATTTCTACTATATACTCTCTACTCTAACTATACATGGAGGAGAAATTCACGTAATCCGCATACATCAGGAATTCCGTTAGATGTTATATCATATGAGACCTTGGAACATGTAAGTACCTGCCAGACTATGACAACGTCTACGGGGCATTTCTAGATCATTTATACATATCCGTGAATTTTCTTAATTAAGAGATAATATATGCAATTGTACAAGCACTATTCAACGGAAAGAGAGGCAGCTTACGTTACTCAAAGTGCTGTGTGTGTGTACGTAAGACTGAACCGGAAGCGTACTCTGCACACCGTAACCGAGCGTATACCTCTTACACCAGTTGAATTTCTCTCGTAACCAGGATCGAAGGTCGACTACGAACTACGAGCCTTTGGTTACGACATCGTAAACTATTCGACGCGAGGAACGACAGCCTGTTCAGTTTGATTTTGATACACGAAATCACCCGCTTCCACTTGTCCGAATTCGATTCCGGAGCGATCCGAGACGCTGTGAAACGGGTCGCGTTTCTATTTCATTGTGCTCTCTGCTCTTCGCTCAATGTGAGACTTACATTACTATTGTACCATAATTAACTGTTTCAGCGCGGTTTTGGTCAGCCGGTTTTTTTTTTTTTTTGTTTTCTTCCGTCTTTGGATCGTTCACGCAGCGACACTTGGAATTCGAAGAAAGGAACTTACAGATAGGATTTTAATAGTGAAACCGCCAGAATAGTCAAAATTGCTAAGAAATTTGACAGACTCACGACTTAAATAGATTTTAGAATTTATTATTTATTATCAATTGTATAGATCTATAATTTTATAGATTTTACGATTTATTTTAATATTGCAGATTTACAGTTTTACAATATTAACAATTTCATGTTTTTAGAGATTCGAATGACCTTTTGTTATTTTTTATACTTAGGACACTTTACTCTAGTCATAGTCGATAGTTTTAATGTTAAATCTTATTTTAAGTAAATACATGAGATCAATTAGTATCCTTTAATAAAATATTTTAATCTATATCTAGAAGATTTCTCTTCAGAAGATTCTTGATTTCATTAGTTTATTGGTAAAATGAGTTTTAATTTAATTTATTTCTAATTTGTCATGAGAATTGTGTACTTTGACTTAATTATTTATTTATGAAGAATATCAAATAAATTACTTGAATGAGCACTCTTTATGTGAACAGAAATAATTAATACGTCTTTCCATTTAAAGAAAGTGAAGCGTGAAGAATCTTTTGTTTCTTCAACTATCTTAGATTAATTAAAGGAAAGGATCTTTAATTAAAGAAAAAGGCAAAATCGACATACACACATAGTTTGTACTATTTTATTTGGCCAACACGGTATAATATAACTTAATAATTATAAAATATTTTTATAATACTTTCTAATTACAATAATTTTTATAATATATTATACATATTATATATTGCATTATCTGTATGTAATATAATATATTTCATAATTTTTATATAACACGATTATTATGTATTTTACGCATTCATTTTAATATGCAAAATTGGATTTTAAAAAAAACTTGGTTGCATAATAAGAAACTGTTAAGTTGTAACAACACAATGCAATTTAATTTTTGTCAATATGTAATAAAAGAACGACATATTTCTAAAGAGACCAGTTAAACCGTAATAAGTAGCCAATGCAATAATGATTGCGACAACTGTTCTATGATGCGTGTAAATTTATGTTCGATTGCATACAAATTTTTCTTCTTCAAGTCACGAAACGCATTCATCCGTGGATTACAGACTCTTGATTTCAAACTTTACGTGCTCACGTGACAATGAAAAATAAAAGTTCTTATGCGATTTGTTAATTGGGTGCTTAACAGTATGTTATTTATGACGTTCGTGATTTGAACAACGTCAGAAATCATTTCTAAAATTGAGAGAGATTAGGTTTGATTACATATTTTGACGTATAATAAATTTTTTTATTTATAGATGAATCATTTATAATTGCATGCATAATATTGGAAAATTACTTTACTAAGATGTTTGCCTAGATATCACTTTTTAATACTTTTTTAAACAAAATTTACAAAACCCATAATTTACGTATGATTTTTTGAAGAATGAAATGCTTACTTTCAACTCATATTTATTTTCATCAGAAAGAAATTCGAAAGATAAATTATATTCTGCGGTTCTTCTTTTGTAGATATCTTAATACATACTTCAGATATTTATATACACACTTTTTTTAAATACATACTTAGATATTTATATATTTATAATTTTTTAAAGAATGAAATGCTTATTTTCAACTCATATTTATTTTCATCAGAAAGAAATCCGAAAGATAAATTATATTCCGTGGTTCTTCTTTTGTACATATTTTAATACATACTTTAGATATTTATGTACACCCTTTTTTTAAATACATACTTAAATATTTATATACATACTTTAAATATTTTAAAATATCTAGTTTTTAATTCAATCAAAAACCATACATATGTATAAGCAAACATGTTAAAGAAAAACTTCTTTTAATATTCCTAAATTAATAACATTTACGCTTAAGGAATTTTAACTCTTTCATTCTGTGAATCACTGCAAATTTGATTTTATTTCAAACAAGACATAAAACCTTCAATGTACGTAATAAACAGGAAACAATTCAAACATTCCGATAATCCAGACATCAACTCCTTCCAGTCTATCCCCATCACCTGTAGCAAAATATTAAATCATAGTAACCTTGACAAACACTTCCAGGAATTCTCTTCGGAAATAAATTTCCATCCATTCAAACGCCTCCCCTCAAATTTTTGTCTCGCAAAAGTGTCACACGTTAAACATTTAAATCATATTCGCCGGGTAATTTCTCAACTCTTACAATTTCAATGACACATTACGCGAAATTAGCCGAGAAGTTCATCGATATAATTTTACGTTTATTCACACGAGACCGGCAAGCATCATCGGTCCAATACTTCCGAGCGCATCTTTCCTCGCCATGTCGGAGACAGGGCTAGCCTACTTTCTCTACAAAGAGAATTTTTAACCGACGTGTGAGGGGTTTCCCTCTCCCTGTCTTCACGTCCTGAACATCACCGCGACTCTCTTCCACTCTCCTCCCTTTCTCACTCTCTCTCTCTCTCTCTCTCTCTCTCTCTCTCTCTCTCTCTCTGTTCACTCCCTCCCTCGTCTTCGCCGTCGCTGTTCATTACTCTTCTCTTTCTCTCTCTCTCTCTCTCTCTCTCTCTCTCTCTGGTTAGTCGTTTCCTCGATTTACTCGGCAGAGAGAATTCCAGCAACTAGTACCCCTCTCTCAGAGTCTATATAAGCGGAGTGTTCATACGAGAGCGAGCATTTTTTGTGTTAGTAGTGACGGAGTCGCGGGTCCCCTCCGTCAAAGAGGTTGACTACCGGTTGAAGAGTGTCAGGATGGTGTGCACGTCGCGACACTATAGAATCGCGTTCGATTGAAACCGAGGAAAACGTCGCGCGCGCGCCTTGGCTCCTCCTTTTCTTGTTTCGGCGCGTCGAAAAGGAAGAAAAGGAACCAAGCAGAAAAAGAAAGAAACAGAGAGTAATTCGTCGTTCAATTTGTGTACAGTGCTGGCAGCAATTCGCGCGGATGCAACCATGCTACGAGGCAAGGTAGGTGATCGTGCAATCCTCGAGAATCATCGTGTTGCTTTATGTCTTCGTTTTCGTTGGACGAACGATTCGTGTGTTGTTCAGTGCTCCTTCGACAAGAAAGATCGCGATTTCACAAAGTTTTGTATTACTTTCGTTCTTTGATCGACTGATGCTTGACGGATCGATCAGAGTGATCGAGATGGACCAGCGATCTCGCGAGAGCTCGGTCGATTTACAGGAAGGATTCTCGATGTGAACGCGGTAGTTCTCTGTAGATGTAATTTTCTCCTCGAGCCGAGATCTGGGAAAGTTGTTGCTCGATTATTTATGATTTCATGAATGATCATTTATTATCGTTAGAATAACTCATTAACGCAACGTTCCGCTAGAAATTTGTGCCCGATCAATTCACATTCTATTCCTTAATACTGCAGACATGAAATTTTGAAAATTTACTCGATATTTTTTACTACTACTTTTTCTATGTAGGTTCTAAAATTTTTATAAAGTTCAGAAAAAGAAGTATTTTGAATATTATGACAAAATGCTGTATGGTTCTTAATGGATTGAGTTATGGTCGGTGTATATTTTGTAATTAATTGTGAGCTGTGATGTTTATATTATTGTATTATTATATTGTATTGTAATATCGTTTTAAATTAATTTCTTTTCATTCTTTAGTTAAGTTTTATTATCGCGTCAACTATACATGTAGAGATATTGATGATGATAAGAATTGGAAATATTATGGAGATCAAATTTTGTCACACATATGACGTTACATTTTTCAAGGAGGAAGAAATTTAAAAAATCTATTTTTTGTCATTCACATTTGTATTTCGCTGTTTCTTTAATCTGAAATTTAGAATTCTAAAGCAATTAAAAATATTATAAGTTGATGAGTCAGGTTTGAAACTCAATTACAATCAATCCATAATCTTAGAGTAGGCTCTGCAGCAACTTTGATGGCAGAATTGTGAATAATAGAAACGCATTTTTCCAAATATTACAAAAATGTTGAGAGATATTTAACACCTTGTCAAATATTGCGAAATACAGTATACATATCCATAAGATTGTACAATTGAAGCGGAAAAGCTGTTTCACGAAAACACGTTAACCACGTTAATCCCTGAATTCGAATTTCGTGTGAGAGCGGAGCATACAAATTACAAAATAGCTAGTAGGAAAGTATTCATTACCGATAACCGCACAACTACGATATTAGAGCACAGATTGAGTAATTGTAAGTTTCTTATCGGTTCTTGATATTCGTGCACTCAGTCTTTCTTTATTTTTGATTGGCTGTTCCGGTGTCATTAATCTCAAGCAGTTACTCTCTCTTTCGACACTTTTCATCTTATAAATATCTGCTGTCAAATATATGTATCATTAGCTGATCATATTGAAAGCGGGACACGATCTATAAATTTCTTTATCTGTACGTCCAGTGAAAAATATTGAGTCATCTAGGTTTTGCGGTTGGTCTTCGTATACTATGTATAATAGATGAAAGTAGGAAATTACTTGTTGGAAATTGACTAGTGATGAATTTATACTTTTTCTAATTCTATATCCCCTTTTCTTAAATCTTCTATTCAAATTTTATAGTAATATTATTTTAAATGACTCTGTCTATATTATTACAATAATAAGTAAAGTAAATCGTTTTATAATAAATAATAAATTTATTAATTAATTAATAAATTAAAAAAGTAATAAATTAATAACAGATGAAACAAATTTTTTTACAATTAATAATAAATGAAATTTATATACTATCTGAATCTCTCTATTACTTTTTAATGTAACTCTCAGAAACTCATGTTACTTATTGAATGATCTAATATAAGGAAATAGCACTTAATAATTTTTAATCTAACCTTATTTGTTCTAACATATTCTTTAATCAATACTTTATCTTAATTATTCTATTTTAAAATACTTTCACAGTCGACGAAATTTATTTTATTTAAATAAATTTAAAAAAAAATTCATCTTCACCGAGGATCACTGTGGGCAGTGACGTATTAAACAGTTAAGATTTGATGAAATGTTAATTGTAGCAAAGGTAAATGAAAAGTCGTAAACTCTTTCAACGTGAAAGTAAAAATCATTTTGGCTACTGAATTAATTGTAGACAGTGTTACAATTCCTTAGCACGCGGTTGCATCAACATTATGAGAATATCTAAACGTGATGAAAGTGATTATAGCTTTTACTGTTCAATTAAGACTGAAAGTCTTATAGAAAGCAGCGATTTTAGTTCGAAGTTACAGTAATCGACGTATAATTGTAGACATAAGGACGATGACGAAGTATTAAAATATAATTAGAGAAATTTAAATAGAAAAATGACAATTGAGATGCTAAATTTTGAATTTTAATTTCTTTTTTTTTTTGGAAAATGATAAGTTTATATTAAACCTTTGTCGATTCAGGAAGTTAATTATCATTTGAAAGTTGCGGAAACATAGTTATTTTACGAATTAAAGAAATAAATAAATATTTATATATTACTCAAAATGTAGTACATTAGAATTTCTGATGTGCAAATTTTATTTCTGGATAGTTAAAATTTGAAAAATCCAGATATCAACTGCAAATTGTAATTATTGAATGATTTTTCATTGCTTTCCTTTTTTATTTCTTTTGTTACAATTTTTTTTAAATAAGAACTATTGTGTATATTTTATTTTGTGAAATTTTATTACAATTAATATAAATATAACTAATATAATTAATTTTTGATACAATACTTTTTTTTTATCAAAAAAATATGTATTTATTAAATTCACTTTTTTAAATCATATTTTTAATTATATTACTTTCCAAATGATGAAAATTTTATTCTTTATTTTGTATTTTATGGAGCTTTACACGTTAGTTTAAAAAAGTTTTACGTTTGAATTAAAGTATTCTTTATACAATGCATAGAAAATCTATAAAAATATAATGTAACAAATACTGTATAAGTTATGTTTCAGTCAATTAAGCAGAAATTGTTCAAAGCGTAAGAACTTGATGCAACAAATTGTCTCTTGTACCAACAATAAGAACTAGCTATTACCAAGTCCAACCAACTGAATTTTCATTCACTAGTCTCTCCGTTGTATAAATATTTGATTAGCATTTCAAATAGAATCTCCTACACTCCTACATAATATTTACATTCCAGTTAGTAATAAAAATTTCGTTCTAAAGTTGAAGCGTGAGAAACTTTCCACATCATTCAAATTCTTGTGACGAAATTTATTACATATATATTGCTGAAGCTGGTAAATATCAGATAGGATATGCTAAGCAAACTTGTGTTTTTGCAACCAACCGGTTTACTAGGATGCCAAACAAAAAGGAAGAAAAAAAAAAAGGAAAGAATCGTCACGTGTTCCTCGAAGCGGTAAACGAAACTCGTAAATGCATCGTGCACTTTCTCTGCTGTATACCTTTTGGTATACATTTATGTTTCTCTAAAAATTCGCAAATATCTCGAGTTTAAACAAAATTTAAAAGAATTTTCATCAGATCGTGTATGATTTTTAAGTTTTACGTTGAACATCTCCTTGAAACATTATAAATGCGTCTCCTAGATTGAGCGAGGGATTTAAATATAAAAATTTGAGAACCGCAGCAGGATTGAATGAATGAACTAATGATTTCTCGTTTCAGTTTGTTATTCTGCAATCTAATTAATTTATTACGTTATAAACTGAAGAATTCAATTAAATAATATATACATCAAAGGATCTGTGAAGTGCATTAATAATTGCATTATAAAATGCACGTGCGATTGAAAAATTTTGTTATGTACTAGAAAATATTGAAGATCAGAGATAAGAAGTGTTTAGAGATTCTCAAGTGAAAGTGTACATGCTGTAGGAAGTTTATAACGTCTTAGTGTCAGTGCTTTAATCGATTCTTCGTTCCGAAAGTTTTTATCAATTTACGACAAAGTATAGAGAGCGCACGTGCGCGCGGGAAAAAGTTGCGATTCAAAGGCGGAAGCAAAAGTGAAATAAACATCGGATTTCCCGGTGAATCGTATCGTTCGATAAGAAGTAATGGTTTCCACCGCGTTACGTGCACTCGTCCTACGTGGTCGGAATATATGACTATGCATGAAGGAGGTGTTTGACCTAGTCACAATCTGCCTACATCGATGCACTCGCCTGTCTACCCGTTCTGGATACAACCTACGTGTAAAGTATTGCACACGCGAGCGTATAGGTCGCGTCTCAATAAGTGGGTGCATCACGTCGTTAGGAGTGCACCTTTGCCACGTGAGAACGATATAGAAAGAAACTGCATCAAGAATTAATCATTTGCACCCTGGGTGGATGTAAAAGGATACACTTTCGAGAATGTTTGTGAATCTCCGATGTAGTTGAAACTAGATAAAGAAATGGATTCTTCGTGGAAGAGTTTTTGGTAAAAGGAAATTATAATTTGTTATACTATAACAGATGATATATAAATACATGTCTTGTGATTTATTGATACGTTTATATTAGAATTTATATGTATTGCTGTTTGAAAAATTTTTTTCAATTTTTTCCTAGTTTTGAAACAATTATAGTGCTTGCTCTAAGAATTTTGAACGATAGTGTACCTTTAGTATTTATGGAATGGAATTTATATCATTTTTTTCAATTTCTCACTATCATTTTCTTTGAGAAAATTTGTCATATTTTTACTGTTATATATATTCTTCATGTACCAGAATACGTCACTTTTTCGTTGGTACATGAAATCATTCGTGTCACTCGCATTTTCATTACTATGAATATCATGATTAAGAAATTATCATATCTCCTTTTTAGAGGTTTAACAATGTTTTTTCATACAATTGGAATAATCAATTTTACTTGTAAAAACTTTCCATTTTACGTCTCGCTTGTTGTTACTCTATACGATATAAATAATGTTAACGACTTCATGGCTATAATCACTGACATTGCAAGCATGAATACCGATGATAACAACCGAGAAAATTGTTTTTATAGAACGTTACAAATGCA